AAAACCCAAATACAAAATTAAATTTCCGCCCGAACACATATCCAAATCCACCACCGAAAAACTGACGGCTGGCCGGCGACCACCGATCCCAAATGGCGGCGGAGGTTCTGTAAGTCATCCACATCCCGGACGGTGCACCCCCAGAAACCGGCGGCGGTGGCGGCGACGACGAAATCTCCGTCGTCTACGCGACTACGTTTCGTCCCAAGCAAGGCGCCACCAAATCCGACGCCATATCAGTCGAGGACTACTGCCCCAAACACAAAATTCACCACGCCGACGGTGATGATCTCAAGATCCTCTACTTTTTCCCCAAATCACGTAAAAGGGTTTTCACAGGCGAGTGCTCGAGATCGAAAATGGGAAACAACGACGCGGCCCACCAATTTCTGTGCGAGATCTGCGCTGACGAGAAGCCAAATCGCAAAAAGTTCAGCATTTTGGGGTGCGGTCACAGCTACTGCTCCGATTGCATGAGAAAATAAACAACGTCGTCACCATAGGCTGCCCTGTTTCTAGGTGCCAAGGCACCCTCGTGCCTCAGCACTGCCGGTCGATACTGCCGGACCGAGTTTTCAACCGGTTGGGGGATGCCCTGTGTGAGGCCTTGATCTTGGCTTCCGAGAAATTCTACTGCCCGTTCAAGGATTGCTCGGCCCTTTGGTGGACGACTCGTGTGGGGGGAATGGGGTTATGGCTGAGTCGGAGTGCCCGAATTGTAACAGGCTTCTTTGCGTGCAGTGTAAGGTGCCTTGGCATTTTGGGATTATTTGTGATGATTTTAGGAAGCTGAAGGCGGACGAGAGGGGTAGTGAGGATATAATGCTGGTGAACTTAGCCAAGAATATGAGGTGGATGAGGTGCCCCAAGTGCAGGTTCTATGTTGAGAAGTCGAAAGGCTGCTTGTTCATGCAATGCAGGTTGGTCTTTTTTTCCCCTAAAAAATATATATTTCTGTTTCTTCTCTTGGCCTTCTTTGATATTTCTGGCTATTTTTGGCGAATGGGTTCGTTTTAGGTGGATTTTAGTTCTTGTGAACGTGCATTGCTTGTGTTCTTGCTCTAACAGTTGCTTGCTTGTGGTGTTTGTTGACGTGCTACTAGATGTTGTTGAGTTGTGTGGTGAAGTTGGATCTTTGCTTGTAGGAGGTTTGGAAAAATGATCGTGCTTAGTGGTGACTGCTAAGTGTTATTGTGCCTATATATTTTGCTTTTTGATGTGAATTTTGTGTTGGTATTTTGTGCACTTGGGCTCAGTGACAGTACTTTTTAACAAAGTATAGCTGGAAGTTTTAACCAGCGATCAACACAAACCCACATGAGTGTGTGTGTGTGTGTGTGCGACTATGATCGACCAGCTAAAACCCTTGTGGGGGCATTGTCCACTGGGGTAAGGTCGAATATTCAGTGTAACTTGACTTGACGCTTAAGAGGGAAACATGTTGGAATTTGAATTTTGTGAAAAGAAGAATCTTTTTTACAGTTGGGAGAATCATTTCGTGAGTAGTCCTCCATGCAATGACATAGGGATCGATGTTATAAAGATTGGAGGGATTTTTATCTATACAAACTTTTTTCATGCTCTTATACAATTCAGAAGATAAATATTGCTCCAACTGTAATCACTAACATGTGTCTTTTGAGCATTTTTATGAAATTTACACGGCCTAACATCTTTCCCAGGCTATCAGCTATTCTTCATAGGTCTGAAAAATACTTGTCTCAGCCAGTCTGGTGGGCCGACTGTTTGTATCGTACAACATGTTGAGGGATGGGCCTGACCAAGCCAGTCAGGTTTCTTGAATTGGCAAAACAGGATCGGGCTGTTCAAGCTCGAAATATTTTGCAAGCTCTACACTTTCAAGTGGGCAAATATGTTTTTTTCATTAACTCTCTAAGCTGGGCTTTTGATACACGACGATTGTCTTCTCAGATCTATTCTGATTTTGCTCCATTGTACTGCTTTGTTTGATTGTAGGTGTGAACATGGTTTTTGTTACAACTGTGGAGCTCCTCTAATAGAGCGTTACTGTCGTCAATGCAAGCACTAAATTGAGCTCCTATTCCCGGTCAATATGATGCAGTTGATGTTAATATATGACATTATGGACTTAGTAGACTGAGGCCAAGTTTGCTATGCATCATTGGACTGGATTACATTAGGATTTAACTGTTAAAGGAGACTAAATAAGGTGTTTTTGAGAATGGTTTTTCTAGATGTGGATAGTTTTTGCTTTAGCCATTTCTGAATTCTTTGATAATGATTTTAAAATTGATGTCTATTTTAAAATTTCGGCTCCAAAAAGGTGGTTCGAACTGAAATATCATATTTTAAAAATAATATTAAAAAATAACATTTCATAACCGACCTACTAAATTAACAAATTAATACATTTAATAATCATCTCACATACCATCTTCACATAAGCAAAAATAAATTCTAAAAACTTCTCTCACATTTATAGTAGCACTATATTTAACCCCCTGCATTCTAACACTACATCAAGTTTTTGTTTTGAAAGTTAAGCCATTTCTTCCTTTTTGTCTTTCTTCTAGTATTTGGATCAAACCTCAAGGGTATTTGTCAGCATATCCCTAAGAACATCTGAATATATGGGTGGAAAATTAATACCTTCAGTTGCACCAGCTCGCAGTCCTTAGTACATAAAGAAGTAATCCACAAGATTCTAATTTGAATCTACAAAATTATAGGTATTTTATGAAATTTTACTCGGAAAATAGCCATATTTTTGTGTCGATAATAAAAGCAAGTGCAATGCATCAGAAATGGATCACATGAGGTTATCGAGTTGCGCCTGCAAATCTTGTATCGTGACCATATTGACAATGCTCTGTATGTCTTCGGGAGAATATTCCGTTTTAAGCAAGGTCTGCACCTGAATATGGGCTTCGACTATGTTTGTCCTGCAAATTAAAGACGGGGAACGAATTATGAAAACTGTGTCATGAAAGAAATAAATTTGAATTAAGATGATAAATGTTGATTATCAAATCGAGTTGGGATATCTTACTTTATTGGTTTGAAAAGTATGGCGCGTGTGGCCGGATTCTGCAGATAAAGCTTCATTTTACCCATTACCCTCGGCAGCTCTTCTTGAATAGCCGAACCCACCTGTCGTGAAAATAAGTAGACGACAAAATTAATCTCCACTTCTTGAATTTGGTTTGGTCTTCAAGTTCAGTAGAAGATGACAAATATCAAGAAGATGAACATGTTACGGAAGTTTGGAAAATTACGGAAGTATGAGAAAGCATCACACGCCAACCGATCCTTTGTAAATTCGACACTTATATGGTTCTTTTTTCTTTTCTTTTACCCCCCAATATATGCCACGAGTCTAAAGAGTGGTCCATGTTAATCCAAGAAAAAAAAAAAAAAAAAGCAAAGTAAAATCATATACCTTTTGGACAATCTCAGCAACCTTTTCAGGAGTAGCAAAAGCTTGATCCTTGAGTGGCTTACTCATGGCAGACTCCTTTTGATTTTGACTGCCAGAGGATAAAGCCACTTTGACAGCAGTGACCTGTGCCGACGAATGATTAGCAGAAAAAAATTGCTGAGCTGTAGCACTTAAATTAAGCAGCGCAATTGGAGATATGGGATTATGAAATTTTAACTGCATCTACACAGATATACCTAAAAAAGGGTCATGTAAGTAAATACTCGGTAAACTCATGAATCTCTGGTATCCATGAGCATGCTCTTGTACAACAATTTACGCTAAATTTCAAAACATCATTCCATTACAATCTGTGTCTATTGCCTAACCCATGAATATCTCTGCAGATGCCTTCATAACACAAGCTTACTACTAGCACATATATGAATGTGTATTCATATGCTGAAAACAATACATAAGTTCCATTGCGATAGGTATCTGAATCGAAAAATTATAAATAACCGACCTTGGTGACAAAAGACAACATAGGATCTACGACCAGCTTAGTCACTGACATGATGAACTCCTCGCATGTGGCTTTAAGGCTTTTCTCCAATTCCTGCACGTGAAGTGAGATATCAAATGCGGACATGAAGTTGATCGATAGTGTAAAAGACTACTGACGACAAAACAACGGAAATTGGTAAGGAGTTTGGATTGCAAACAGAATCACATAAAGGACCCTCCTCTCAAGACCGGTCAACAAGTTTTCAGCTAATTCATAAACCCAAAAGTGGCCAGAAACAATTTAGTTCCATTGTTTAGAGAAAAAGGAGAGGAAGCATGTAGAATAAAAATGGAACATAAAATATTCCATACATCCTACCCAATCAGACAAATGAGTAAATATAAAAAACTTGTTGAGTTATAGATTTGGGTGGAAAATAAGACTATATACCTCCAAGCTCCCTTTAATAATCCAGGCTTACCTTTTTCGCATCTATTTGACTTTCCAAAATTCGTGGAGAGAGTGTTCTTGCCAAGGATGTAGACCTTGACCAATCAAATAGTGATGCCTGGCCTCGAAGAATCCTTCTCAAATGCTCCTGGGAAATGCAATCAACTAACTCAATATAATCATAACCAAAGATCAAAAATTGAATTAATCTCTATGACTGCACCATTTCAGTCGACAGTTTCAAAAGGTTAACACATTTCAAATAATGGTTGTGCCTTTCCCCAGAGCCGAGAAGCATTCAAAAAATTACATGACAATATTTATTAAAATGAAATGATCTTAATAGTCTTATAAACTGAATGTACTCTAGTGTCATAAAGAACACTGTACTTAGAGCATGGATTCAGGTCCTATGATGGTTCAAAACTAAAGGCAGGAACTTTCCAGTGCTACATTAAATGGGTCAGTTCTCATAAATAATAGGTCTTGCTTTAAAACTCGCAGAGGGAAAAGACAACTGTTTTAAGAGATGATGATATTTTCATTGATCTGCATGCAAAACAAGTCTAATGTCAAATCAACATCAGTGTAAAATCAGTACCAGCAAATGAGAGAAGTCAAGCTCCTTGTGTGTAACTGAGAATTCAATATCAAATGGTGCAATCTGCAGATGAACTGCTTGATTAGTTACAGAAAAGAAAAATATTAAAAATACATGAAAATAATTGTTTGAAAATTAGAGTTAGAACATGACCTGCTCTCTGAGAATAAGAAGAAACTTTATGAGGAACAGTTGTCCGTCCATTGTGGATGATCTCTTTACAACAAGTTTGCTAGCTTTCTGTCAGATAAGAAGAAAGAAGGAATTGTGAAGAAGCAGATGCAAGGAATGAGAGTACCAAATGAAATAACTACATAAAATTAGACTTTATCATAATTATTGCCCACGATTTCAAGACACACAACAAGTGAATGAGATATAAACTGGAATGAAAACTCATAATTAACTATGTTATTTAAAGTTTAAACCCAATTCTATGGACACATGAAATGTGCTTCTTTGAAATATTAAAACCAATGTCTTCCCCGACGCTATCTCAATATCCAATAAGCTAAAAATCTCAAAGCACTCACCTGAATGGATAAAGAGCAAACTTCAACTGCTTCCTGATATAGACAATGAATCAGGAAAAATGAAAGTAATAAGAAGTGGGCAACAAAATTGAGTAAAACATATTATCAAACAAGGAAAGATAGCTCAATAATAATACCTGGGCCAAACCAGTAAAAACTGCTGGCTCTAAACATCGATACAGTTTAGACAAACAGGTTATAGTTTTCTCAAGTGGAGGGTACCAAGTCCTAGAAACATCTGGGTTATCAACACTCTGCGGTCAGATAGAAAAACATTATAAATAATTAAAGTTGACAAGCTATATAGAAAAAGATATGTGATAAAAGAAATAAAAACAAAAATCAAAACAGCAGTAGGGCAGAAATGAAAAGCGTTGTGTGGAACCAAGTTTAAATTTCATATGAGAATACAAAGTAACATGAGACAAAAAGGTCAGAGAAAAGCTTGCAGCCAAGTTAGAACAAAAAAATAAAAATGGAATAAATAATAAGAATTCAATAACAAGCTGTACAGTGGGACAAAAGAACAACGAGAAATATCAAATCAGGAAAAAAAAACTCTTGAAGACATACAACAAAAATTTAGGAACACTTACAGAGGATGCTTCTGAATTTGTCTCAGCTGATTGCTCCAGTTTAGTAGGGTAGTCTAGGTCTTCATCCAAAGGAAGGTAATTTGCAATCTGAACGAAAACATAATCAATATAACGATATCCACATACATATAAAAAAACAAAACAAAACAAAACAAAAAAACTCTCAAGCAAAGAAAAGACTGATAATTATGTGAAACTAAATTACTAGAAATTGACTGTCTCAACCATACATACACAGATTACTGAATCCGGTCCATCCAACAAAATTAAGGTCTAAAACAGGTAGCAACAAACTAATTTTATCAAATCCGAACTCATTCTTCTTTAGAACTTGAATTACTTTAATCACACTAGATGTTGATTACATATCCTCTTTCTGCTCATCCAAAATCAGGAAGCACATAGGTGTAGAATCATCAAGCGGTTCGTTTTTTCCATTTTCTTCTTAAGAGTAAAACTAAACATATGTGTGTAAAAACATGAACTACGATCTAAGCCAATAAATCACTGAAGCTACAGTAGTTACCTCGTCACGAATGTGAGTTCTAGCACGAAAAGTTAAACGCTCGTGAACATCTGCTAATATCCTTTCCAGTGTTGGGCGTAATCCCGCAAGTGACTCTCCTCTTCTACTTACTTGTTCCGCCAGCACTTCAACTTTCAGAATATCAACAAGCTCACAGAGAACATCGAGGTTTGCTTCATGGATAAGTCTTGGACGTAATGTATCATATAAGTATGTACACCTGCCAAAATTGAATGAAGGATTTGAGTTGATGATGCATGTAATGTAGAATCTTCGAAACTCAGGTACTGAAACTCAAAGTTTATATGAATTAACATGGTCCAAGGTTATGAGAGATAATTACTGAATTGCAAAGCATGGTACAATTGATGTCATATATTATTAGAACACATTCCATATTAAGGGTTGCAAAGGAACCAGTCAAAGCTTACATCACGCTAAATTACATTAATTTCATCTTATTATACGTGCATCAACAAGAAAGCATTGGCCATGGCATCAAATTCATTTTTCTAACTCATAGACATGATATTAGACTTATATGTTAACCTTATGAAGTGAATCCAATTTGGCATTAATGAAAAGACTTTACTTCAGGACTTCAAATTTGATCAGCTATAAAGAAAACCTACTTCCAACCAATATAGGCTCTTACTATAATATGAAAAAAGGGTTTCAGCTATGTGCGCTTTAGCTCGTTGGGCCAACCATTACAATTTAAGACGAGATGCAACTAATATTCTCTAGCTATACTTGTCGAAGACAGAGATTGCTCAATAGAAACAGACAGTTTAAGAACCTAAGAATCAGCACTAGCATCTATGTTAACTAGGACACTGAAGAAAAAAAGAAAAACCGGAGATGACATTAAACTAAGACGCATAAAAATAAAGGACGAAACAGAAGTAGCTTACAGTGGATCTATCAGAGGGGCCAAACTTGAAACATCCTCTGAAGATAAAGGAAAGAAATGGTCAAAAAGTTGATGCTCGAGCAGACACATCTGCAGTTAAAATATCTCTGAGTCTACATGAACTAAATTCTCTATTCTCTTCTTGAGGTAATGGTCAGAGATATAATATGAAAAAAATAAGAACCACTACAGTATCTTAAATTAAAGGGTATTTTAAGTAACTATTCAACTTAGTGAAATATTTCATTCAGATGAATAAATCAATTGATACTAAAATTTCAAAGTGTACGACCTAACACCGTAAAGCTTTCCATCATGATAAATGATTAAGCACTAAGTTACCACTTACCACTTTAATTGGCCAAATACCGCATATTTTCTGCATGTATACATCATTTTAACAAATCCCATCCAAGTGAAAGTGGAAAAAGATGAAAGCCTTGGAACTAAATCTTGCACAAATTAGATTTGTGATATTTCATTGAACAGAAGCTGAAGAAAGGAATGCAGTAACAACTATGAACCAAAAGGAAACTGGGAAATGACACAAAAGTAGGTCCATATCAACTTCACTATGGGTTTCTTGCTTCCTTGAGAAACTAGCTATTGACTAGCTTTTCTCCTTATCACAGAAAAAGTAACATTTCAATTATTGAGTCAAAAAATTTTGTGAGGTCTCGTCTTCTTTTATGGTTGAGAGCTAGAAATCATATAATTGATTATAAGAGAGCACAGAAATATTCAGCTTTCTACTTTGTTATTCTCATAACGGAGACAGATGTGACATAAAAAAGGGAAAATGAAAAAAGGTTCTACATTTTACCCAAAAATAAAACTCATCATTCAACAGTTACAAACTCAGATAAAAGCGTTACGAAGACAACCTGCATTAAGTATGCACAACCAGATCTAGTCAATGATGGCAAGGCTTCTTTCTTGGCAAATTCAGAGATACGCTGATGCACTATGCCCCTCACCTAAATCCAAAGACAAATAAAGATACATTTATAAAAGAGTACCCAATGGATGGTTCGAACAATAACTAACTTGAGTAGAACCAATCCATGAATGAGTTTCTAAGACACGGAGGGTAGCAAGGTATACAGGAATGCAATTCAACTAACCAAAGATAGCCTTTGTTCACAGTAAAGTTTGTGGCATTCAGCAAGAATCTGAACATATTCCTTTCTTGGCTTTCTACTTTCAATTTCCACCAATACTGGCTTAAGCTGCATTTATACAATTTATTAGTCATCGCACAAAAAACTTACAAATTCATCCCACTTATAACCTTTATCGACACATTGAAGAATGGTTTAAGGAAAAGAAAATGCAGAGACAAGACTCACCTCGTTCGCTGCTGCCTTGAACCTGACGTATATTATAGATGTCTCAACAGCCTCGGAGACAGATGCTTTGTTTCCAGCGCTGTTTCTTATTGCCGCTTGGACCTAAAGAGTGACACAAGAAAATTGTGGCACACATTATTCAGCTAACTGAAAACACAGATCCAAAGTACAAAGAAAAGGTAAAGCTGAAATTTACCTGAGAGGAAGCATTCCTAAGAACAGAGAGTACGTGAGAACGAATCATTCCTAGAGCACGGGACTGCGCCGAGTTCAGAAAATAATTATGTATTTTAGAGCCCAGAAGGCAGGTATGATAATCCATTACTAAAATAACACATAGAAAGCTTTTCACTGCCATCGAATTGTATAGCGTACACACCTGAAGCTGTCGAAACTTTACCAAGTAAACATTGCACTCAGCATACTGTGGGTTACTCTCGACATACCTAACAAAAAATATAGGAAATATCGCTATAATAGGTCTTGTCCTATTGTTGCATTTCAACAGTAACCTAACATATTTCAGAATCATGAGATGGATATTAATGCCTAGAAAAGCACAATCTGGTATACAAGTTACTAACTTCTCAAATTTAAACAACAACAACAACATACCCAGTATATTCCCAACAAGTTGGGATCTGGGGGGTCAGTTGTACGCAGACCTTACCCTTGTAATTATACAACGAGGCTGTTTCCGTAGCGACCCAAGGTGCATTGCGTCGTTTGATATATTTTTTAAATTGAAAACTATATTCAAGCAGTACACAAGTAGATTTAATAACTTGTGCAACAAAATTAAATTTGCTGCATTTAATCAATGTTACTTACGATATGCAGTCATCAAGTCTTTTTAGAAGAGGAAGAAAATTCTCATGTGATACATTCATGCTTGGAGAATAAAAGCTGGTAGCAACCTGCATATTATAGGTGTAAATGTCAATCATGAAAATGTACAAAGTCGCAAAAGTTCCAGTTTAAGACATGTAACAGTAGTCACACAAGTTCCTTTGTAAGCAGACATGTATGACAAGGCAAAGAGGGAACACTTTATCAATATCCTGACTAGGGATACAAGGAAACAGAAGGAGCACATGGATGATATGACCCAATCAATCAAGCTTTCCGAGAAGAATATTTCTGGTTCAATTCTGGCACATCTCATTTTGCTTGTCAGGGGGGTAGCCCGGTCATGCAAACATTAACGACTACTTAATGAACACTGACCAACTGTAATCTTTATTTTACTACGACCATGTAGATAAAAAGGTGTCATTTACCATTTAAAAGCGTGTTCACCAAGATTCAAACCATGTACAGTATATTTTATATAATTCTTTATCCCTCTCTCTTCCAGTTCACCCACAACTAATAAACGGAAAAAATAAAAATGATGAATACTGACCCTTTGAACACCTTGTCAGATATTATTTCATCTAGCATACATGTTTGAACTTAAGAGGAGATGATTAGTGACCCATGGACGGTGTACAATACCAAATATGGGCCAACAACAATGGCTGAATAACAAGAATATTATGGAAGTCAAATTCAATAAATTACATTCAAACCTTACATTCTCCAGTTCATCAAAATAATTGAGCTTAGCACGGAGTGATTCAGCAAACTCAATTAACCTTTGCTTCTCCAAAAGCTGCAATATGGATATCAAACAGACCAGGATATATTATTAATATGATAGAACGATATGGCCACATCTTTCCATGTCTATAATTTCTTTATTTCAATCACACCTTCAGCACATGCAATACAGAAGTAGAATCATACCAGTCGATCACATGCATCATGCAGAGTTTTCGTTTTTGTTGCTACAGCTTGATGCTGTAGCTGTAATTCATTAAATAAATCGAGGGTTTCATCCACCTGCCCAGAAAGTTATTCATCCATAATTAGTTCATACAGAAGATGGCAACAGAAACAGAATTTGGCCAAATTATTGAGGCAGTCTGTAAAGTACATGTACCAATAACAGCAATATCCTACCTGATTGAGTATAGTGTCACAAGTTTGTATCCTCTCAGTTAATGTCCGTACATAATGCTGGTACTTCTCTTCTGTCTATACACCGAAAAGGAGGCATCAATGGCATTAATAATCATTTTCAGACAAGGAAACATGACCTGATTAGAGAAATGTGATAACCTCTGACTTCATGGCTGCTTCAAGATCAGCAAACCATTTATAGAACTGCAAGAAGAGAAACGTACCAAAAAAGTATGATCACCAAGGAAGAACCCAAATATATAAAAAGAAAAAAAAAATCAAATTAACAAGAAACGAACAGGAAAAAAGAAACATTGATGAATAATAAAAAATAGAAATATATCTCCAGGAAATTACATGACCTTGCAGTTACATATTAGACGATATTAGAGACTAACGACTACATTGATCAATAGAACTCAAATATCAAAGTGCGTGAACTAACCAAGTTAATATAAAAGCAAAATTGATCATATTCTGAGAGAACATGATAATTAATTCATAAAAAATGCACCTGATTGGTGTTGACCAGAGCGGCCTCCATCGCCCCTGAATCATCTGAGGTGCTATGCTTTGTTGAAATAGACAGACCATTTTCACGTCCAGCTGCTTTCTCTGGTGCCTTATCCAATAAACAAGAAAAGAATAACTACAATTCTTTTCAATTTCATGAAGACAGGTAACAAAGAAACAAAAATTATATCAGCAATAGCCTCTACCAAATTTGGAGGAAATGGTCGTTCGGCAACAGCATGGGATAGAGCGGCAATTGCTGCATGCTGCTGCTCGGTCAATGGAGCATTCTATTAATTGACAAAGAATTTTGAGTTAGAACTGTGTACACTTTTACCAACTAATGCATATACACATAGACATTGCCAGCAGATCTATCGCCAAAACAGCTAAAAAACAGCGCTTTAATCAAATCTGCAATATCAGGCTCACACTGATCGAATATTCCACGAGGAAAAAGAAAGTCTCAAACCTGTTCCCAGGTGGAAGCAAAGTTGTATCCTTTCGAGATCGCGCCGGATTTTGGGACGTTGGACTTTCCGGCACCACCACCCGCCGCCGCTGTCGCCATCTCTCCAGGCTCAAACTGCAATTTTTGAGAAATCAAAGAGAAACCAACCAAAAAATTATCAACTTCGAAATACAGTCAAAAGGAATCAGTATTTTCAGCTGAACAAGATAACAACGACAAAATCATACTTGGTAGAGACGCAGAAGGCAAAGATTTGCAACCAAACCAGTGTTTTAAAACGCGCTTCGCGCAACGCGTCGCGTTTTGGTCATTATATTCCGTAGCGTATTGCGTAAGCTATTCGAGCAGTTCACTTTTAATTCCAAAAATAAAAATATATATTACCATACAAGTAAATAAATATTTGAAATATTCTTAAACCATAAACTTGGACACTAAATCTCAAAAACAACTTCCAAATACAAGTTCATACAAACAACTCATATTTGTCATTTAATGGTTTTCTCCCCGTCAACTTTAAATCCATATTTCCAGCCGATATCTCTATTTTTCGACATTTAAACTGAAAATAGGAAAAAACAAAATTTATGAACCAAAAAATCATGCATGTTCACAAATCACAACAATAATTGCATATTTGACAGTAATCACAAGTCACAGCACAACACAATAACCTCTTTACTCTTTAATTATTTTTGGATCCCATTTCTTAGCCTTAATGATAAACAGCAATAAAAAAAACATTATTTGAACCATTTTAATAAAAAAACAGAGGTTAATGGCAAGGATTCAATGGCAAGGTTAATTAAAAACAATCATGTGCAGCCTCTTATAGAGGAAAAATCAAAAACAACAACAACAAACTCAATTGATTCAATTGACCATACACACTCAATCCAACGCAGTAACACTTTCTATCAAGAAATAAACTTTTAAAATTCCATCAGAGTCCTCAAATCAGCAACCTCAAACACATTTATATCTCATTCTCATTCTATTAATTTAATAAATAATCATTCCAATTAAACAAAAAATCAAAATAATCAAGTGAATGAAGAAGAGGCCCAAATTCAATTTCAATTCCTTAATCTCCAATGAAGAACAAAATATTACCTTCGGAGTCGACTGAGGAGCAGGGGATGTCGGCAAGAGAGAGCCGAGGAGCCGGGGATGTAGGATGGCGAGAGCCTAGGAGCAGGGAATTGGAGTGCCGAGATGCGAGATATTGTAAGACTGTGAAAGTGCGAAGCAAGTTGGTTGTGAGTAGACTGAGGCGGCGGAGATCCTACACTCGTCGGGCTGTGCCGCTGTGGAGGAGCCGTGGAGGTTGAGGTGGAGGGTTTGGAGGCTGCGGTGGTGGAACTAGTGAGAAGATGAAGAAGTGAAAATGTGAAATGAGGTATTCGTGATTGAACCCCTGAGCTGCATTCGATTTTGCTTTTTTTTTTTTTT